TCCTTTCTCACCAGTGGGGAGTTCCTCTCAAATATGAGGGGCTTTTTATACAGGTGCGTGCAAACCACACCGAAGACAGAGCACACTGTTTCACTGAGGTCATATGAAACTAAAATTTCTATGGAATGAAAACGAATGAGTTCAAATTTATTGAGGAAGCAACTGCAGAACACATCTTTGTAATACACGCCGAGCATTATTTTGGATGTTGGCTGAACTGGTTTTCGTCATGAAAGACCTCCACACAGGAATCGTTTTCACACTTTTGCATTTTTCATGTTCCTAAATTATTACGAGAAGGATCACAGCATCCATGAGCTCTGCATGCACGATGCTACTGTGTTTTTTTACTGCACTTTTCAGCAGCCTTCATGACTGCGCTTAAAAATCTGAATGATAAAATCATTGCTAAATCCTTTTATTAGGATTACACAGTGCCTATATTATTCTGAAATGAATGCTGATTTATTATGGTGGTTTTGTTTGGTTCTATCATAGTTTCATTCCCATTTGATGCATTTTGTATATATCTACTTGGAGGAGTAGTTCACTACAAAATGCTTCCACAATTCCAGATGGTGCAGCACAATACATTCATTATTTGCACTATATCTGTGTCAAATCCATTTACAAATCAAACATGTTCTGTTTACTATCTGGGCTATGCTTTTTAAAGATTTTAAAGATTTTTTATGACATACAATTTTATTTTCTAATATAACTTCAAACACTTAAACAGAAAATCCATTAATATCCAAGACAAAGGCATGCTAAACCAAGATCTCCTTTTTTTCTTTCTTCCAAACAAAAGCCAAGGAATCCTTCTCCGACACTGGATCAAAACCTTGTGCCAGTGAAATCTGCTGAAATAACCTTCAGTGGTGCAATCCTGAGAAACAAAAGTGAAAAATGTCCTACGGTTCTTCCCAACCCTGTCTGCCAGACACACTCAATTACAGTAATGACACCCTGCAGGTTATGGGAGGTGTGCAGGTCACTGAAGTAGGTGTTAATTCATTTCCCCTTGTCATCTCCTCTCATTGAGCTGCAGAGGGTGTGATGGCCATATTTATCACATTTTATAGTCCCATATGCTAGGTGATTACTTCTATTCAGATTGACCTACAGTACACCACTACAACTAAAACAGTCCAGTATCTATTGCAAGGTCCAGAGAACCCCAACGTTGCCGTCACACAGAATCACCAACGATAAGAAATGGAGCAAGGAAGAAAATAGGATCTTAAGGGACAAACTGACCAGGAATTTAATAGACCTTATGGTTACATTGAAACAAATGAATAAAAATCATTTTTCAGGTCAGGCCGTGCACTTTTAAACAATCTCAGTACATTTCACGTCTTTGCAGAGTCTAAGTGGCAGCTTTGAATAATTTAGAAATGTGCAAATTAATCCCCTTCGAACTGCATGGCTGCAAATTTGCACCGTAAGCAGATCAGTGTTACTTCATAGACTTGGATCTCTTGGATGGATCGACAGATGTGAAAGTTTCGCTTCCAAAGGGGACAGCAATGTGACTTTGATTTTTTGGGACATTGAGACCATGGAGCAAATTTAATCAGCCAAGATAAGAGGCAATTCCAGGCTCTTCCAAGAACTCTTTCTCTTAAACCGAGCAAGACGTGTAACCTGTATTGCGTTGGGCAAATGACACATGAAACATGGGCTTGTAGCTAGTCTCTCTGCGTGACATTGTCTGAGCAGCTGGACTGGTTAATGTCTCTGTAGTGCTCCACAAGGTCAAAGGTTTTTTCACCATTAGACTGCTACCAAGGTCGAGCAGGGCTCATGCTCTACAGCCTAGAAAAATCCCGATGCAGCCATACTGAATTGCTAAATAAATCACTGGTACTGTATGTGATGTGGCTTCAAAAATACATTACGTCACTGGGATAGTAGCTCCTGCCTGCCTTTCTGCTCATCTTAAATCAGTTTACGCAGGGCACAGAGTGGATTCACACGCAACTGAGCATGTAGCCCTTCAGGAGAAGCCTTAAATAACGCGCAGCTGCTTCCCAGCACAATTACCACACTGGAGCACAAGGTTAGGGAAGAGAGTGCACTATTGCACTATCAATTAGGAGCCCACTCAATCTACCGGCTAATTCAATATAAATCTTTGGTTAGACAGTGTGTCCAAGGTGACAGAGTGATCCCACTCAGGCCTGAAATGCAAAATCCCACCGTTTAAATGCTTTACTCTTGGTATTTCAGACAGAAATGCCCAGTAAAGAACCTTCCCTACGCACCTCATGATGAGTTTAGTCAGCTGTTAGAATGTACTGTATGTCCCAAACAGACAGGTGAAAAAGACAGTGTGTTCAGTAAGCCAGACTATTTTAATACAGTTTTCAGAAACCATGCAGCTGTTCTTTAAGCTGTGAAATTGTGTTATGTTTGCTTATTATTATTGACTTAGATGGAACCTAGACATAAAGTGTCATTTCAAGCTGCAGACAACTGAAGCAAGCAGGGCATCCAAAGTAGAGTATTTTACAGGTAGCACCACAGAAACGCACAGAGTGTAACAATGCACTACTGTAGGTATGCATACCCCCTGCAAACCAAAAGGTAAAGACAGCATCTTTCTGGTTCATGCACCCCTGTCCTTTAAATGTGTTCAAAATCACAGGATAAAGAAAAGCCGATGTTTTCGAAAGGGAGTCAGCTGTTTTAATGCTTCTTGTCCAAGCAAGACAGGAGTAGCAGCACTTTGTTCAAGAATGAAAATAAAAAACAAGTCCTTTGCTCCACAACCCAGGAATTTCCTCTCTTGTGGCAGACAAAGGAGACACTGCTACTCCAATTTTCCATGTGCCTCTGCTCATCACACTCCAGAAATTAGAAAGCTTAGCTCTTCCTACCAAATGTCACGTAGTTCAGAATTAAAATCTCTTAAGGACCACTAAGGTATTCCGAAGTCACAAAACTGCAGTGCAATAAATTAAGTAGTACAAGTATTAATAATATATTAATTTAGTGCATTCAATTATGGCTAGATTATACATTTTCAGTATCTAATGCAGATTACAAATGACTAATTTATAATCTTCTTGACTCATGCTCTACTAATCATAAGAAAGCATAAATGTTATGACAAGCAAAGAATACTCATCAAGAACCTCCAAGGTAATTCTCTATTGATATCAGACTGAATTTTGAATGGTCCCATTGCATTTGCCTTTACAGCTTGGCTCTAAGATTTGTTTCATGATTCCACTACCATTTGATTTTGTTTTCCATTTAGGTGCTCGTCTTCTGCTTTTTAAAAGCAAGTTTCAAAACAAGTGAGGCTAAACTTATTTCTGCTCTTTATAAATTTAACTCACGTCTCTGGTGAGCCAACATTTACTATGATTTTTCATATTCTCAATTTATGGCATTGGGCTTTTTCATAATTATTCTAAGTAAGTAATGTTTTTTAATTTAATAATTCAGTTCATTAATACAGGCCTAAAGTCCTTTGGATCCTTGTTGAATCACACACCGCACCTCATTCTGGGGCGGCAGGGAAGACATTCTGCATTAGTAGTTCATGACACAGTGGAGAAGAGAAGACTTTCTTCTCAGCTGTATCATGAACAAACTAGAGTGCAGTTCACGTGCCCAATAGCATAGATCTTGAGGACTGAATTAGGAAGGACCCACCTTATATAAAGGTCAGAAACACTGTTAGTTTGGCCTTCACCATCCAGGTGTGTGAAAACAAGTCATGCCATGATCTAAGGAAATCTCGGAGGACCTCCAAAAAAGTGTTATTGATGCTCAACAGTCTGGAAAGGGTTACAGAACAATTTCTAGGGCTTCACTGATCCACTGTCAGATAGTACATACTGTATATGAAGAAAGGTCAAGACTACAGTCACTCTACCCAGGAACTGCTGTCCTGCCAAAATCTCTCCAAAAGCACACCAGAAGGTCATCAAGTAAGTTACAAAGAACCCCAGAGCAACATCCAAGGAACTGTAGGCCACTCTCACCTTGCCTAATGTAACTATGCAAGCTTCTGCTATCAGAAAATGACTGACAAAGAAGGGTGTGCATGGAAGGATAGCAAGGAGAAAACTAACACTCTTAAAAACATTGCTGCCCATCTGAAATTCACCAAAGAGCACCTAAATGATCCACAAGGCTTCGGGAACAACATTCTCTGTGCAGATGAGTCAAGGTAGAACCCTTTGTCCTCAGTGAGAATCATTATGTTTGGCAAAACCCAAACTACGCTTTCAAACAGGAGGAACTCAGCCCAGCCATCAAGCATGGTGATGTTTTGGGGCTGCTTTGCTGCCTCAGGACCTGGGTGGCTTGCTATCACTGACACAACCAGGAATCCTGCACTGTTTCAAAAGACTCTACAGGAGAATCTCAGGCAATCTGTCCACAAACAGCAGCAAAAAATGGGTCTTACAGTCATTGTTGCTCAAGGCGATTACCACCAGTTACTGAATATAAAGGGTCATGTGAGCAGAAACAAATGTTCAAAGAATATCATTTTTTGTGTCAGTTGATTCATGAGGTTAACTTTATCTTTTATTAGGACTTTGATCAAGAGGTTTCAAAAATGTAAAATATGTGAAAACCCTAAGGGGTTCATAAACCTTTTCTGAGCACTGTAGACCAGCAGGGTGCAATTTTAAATATGTATGCTGGCCAAGGTAATCAAACCTTTATTATAAGATGGTTTAATACTTGAGAGTTTTGCCGATTTATTTGTGGCTGTGGAAAATATCTTAACAGACTCACTGAGAAACCCTGGAAGACTACTCTTAAGACTGTTAGTATTACAAGGCATTGCAGTGCTGTGTAGCTTTCTGGTTTCTGAGTGCCTTCTGTTCACATACTGCCAAGGCTGAGGCTTCATTATCTTCTAAGACTGAAGAGATCAAGTCTTTCGTCTATGCAAAAGACTACAACCATTTAGCTTGGCTATACTAAGATGGATGGTAGCTGATAACGAGTACCAGAAAGTGGCATCTTACCATGTGATAATTGATCATTTCCTGCAGGCTCTCTCCACACTTTTCCAGGCACTCCTACAATGAAAACAGAGCATGGTGTAAGTTAATAGCACCTTTCACTACAGGGAGCTAAGAAGAAGAAAACCTGTGGTCACAAACACTGGTAAACGATGGAAAGCCAGGGTCCTGATCAATTCAAAACATGGACATACAACTTTCAGGTGAAAGGATCCTCAAAGGCAGCTTTTAATGGATTGACAGGAGAGGCCTGTAGAAACCATGCCAAATGAGATGTGAGGAGTATGGAAGTGTGGAAGCATTTGGATTTTAAAAGCAACAGAGGCTCACGTCAAGCACACATCCTGGTGTCGCAAACTCAAGACTGAATGGACTGGTGGATGGGTATGATGGTGGAGACTTGTCTGCACCTCCCTGTCCCCAAATCTGGAAACAGGGAGTCACACTGGGTCCAAAAACCAGTGCGAGTCAATTCTTATTTGAAAGAAAAACAGAAAGAAAAACTGCCAAAAACTTCACACTTATTTTAGAACAAGGAAAATGTTATGCCGCCATCACAACTATCTTAATAGAATCAATTATTGTGGATAGTAATTAAAAATGTGTGGATAATCAATTTCTGCTTTACAGCACATTTTGCAAGGAGGAAAAGACTTGCGTTTAGAGGAGAAGGAGGAGTTACTTGCTTTTGAAATATCCACAGAAAATACACAGACTATGATATGAAATTAATTTGAAACTGCTGCTACACTTTTTGGACAGAATGGGCCAAATAGCCCCCTCTCATTGGTAACCTTTCTTGTGCTCAGAGCACAACACATTAACCATGTGCTAATTACTCTGAATATGTGTACGTGTTAATATTATGGTGAAAAGTAAAAAAAAGAAAAACAGTTTGGCTATGAAGCCCTTTAAGGATATAAATATCATAAGATGTGGTCTCTTTTTTAGAAACTTAAACTTTTTTACTAAAAAATGTGTAATACGAGATTCCTGACAGTGTGATGCATTTCCTGAAAAACATTTTTTTATTGGTAACATGAAGGTTTTTTAGTATTGTTAAGCAATTCACAGTGAATGCTAAATCCAGCCATTTAGTTTGAAGCATAAAAACACTGTAATATCCCAAACCCGATTCTTGCTGACTAAGTGTGTAGCACTCAGGATTAACAATTGACTAAATGTATAAAGTGGAAAAATGGAAATGAAAAAGTGAAAAAAGAAATACTATTAGATTCCTAAGCAATCTTGCAGTCACTGTTGAAGAAACATACTGTAACAGTTGTTGAAAACCCTAAACCCCGGGCGGAGTGGTGGGTCTGTGGCTAAGGATCTGCACCAGTGGCTGAAAAGTTGCTGGTTTGTATCCTGCGGCCGGCAGAGGAATCCTACTCCGTTGGGCCCTTAACCCCAACTGCTCCAGGGGCGCCGTATAAATGGCTGACCCTGCGCTCTGACCCCAAGCTTCTCTCCCTGTCTGTGTGTCTCATGGAGAGCAAGCTGGGGTCTGCGAAAAGAAACATTCCTAATAAAAGAAATTGTATATGGCCAATTAAGTGATCATTCTCTCTAATCCCAGAGGGATACAGTCCTGCAGGTGTAGTAAGTCTCCTGCAACTGTTTTCATTCATCGTAAGAGAATGATGATGGAATGTTTGGACTCCAGCAGTTTCTGATATAAATTCTTTATTCCATCAAACTGAATTCACTTAGATACCATAATATCTACTGCTTCTCTAGTGCAAAAATTAGATTATGATCATCCCTACTGTAAAAATTATGTCCTACACAGAAAGGACCTGAATCACTATAGCTTGGAAAACTGTCTGTGGGGCATTTGATTCAACTATGCAACGTCAATTGTAGCATCTACCAGGATTTTCAAAAGTTTTACAAATCTGCAATGTATGTCTTCCGTATAAAATCAGTCTTCAGTATAAGCTTTATCAGCTTTGTGCAAAGATATTGTCTTTAGGATCTGTGTTTTGTAGTCCAAAAATATATATTTTTAACATTCTTAGATATTTCTATATCAGATGCTTGGTTTCTTCTCACTCATGCTAGGTGTAGTTTTAAAGTTTTTACATCAGCAGAAAATCCTGGATGAAGCCTTGAATTAATTCTTGTTGTCCTTAACATACATTTATTGTAACCAATTTAAGTAAATTTGAACTTATTTTTAGTTCACTTAGTGGTGGATTCCTCTTTCTTAGGATTTCTTTTTGGATTCATGCTGCATCAAAAAAAAACATTCACTTTTCATCAATAAGCTCTTCAAAAGCTGCCAAGAGCGTGACAGTTATTGAAAACTAGCTAAACCTCCACTTTACTTTTAATCAAGGAGGCCAAAATAATTCCCAAGAGCAGAGTTAAATCAAAATAATAAAACAGTAGCCCTATTAACTCTTACGACAATCTGAAACCACAGCTTACCGTAATCATTTCGTCTCTCTTGCATTGCTGAGACAGGTCCTTTACTCCATTGACGAAGAGCTTGTTGGCATTGATGTAGGACCTTCCTGCTTCGATCATCCCACTGCATAGCTTCACCAGCTTTAAACAAAAAAAGGAGAAAAACGTACAGTACTGCATTAGTCACTTGTCACCAAGACATACTGTATAGCCATCACCACCATGAATGAAAATGAATGGGCATTTTCAGGCGACTAGGTTCATCCAAGGCTGTCTCTCAGAAAGATGTCGGTCATCGGTCACACTCACAGATGGAAATAAAACCTGAGATCGAAAAGTTTATCCTTACCTGGGTAAAGACCAACCTAGAACCCAATCCAATCAAATTTCCTATTTCTGTGTAATTTTTTTAAGTTAAAACAAAGCCTGTCAGCAAAATGCTCTAGAGAACGTGATACATTTGTGTGAACATATCGACCTCAGTCAACCTGAAATTCATTAAAAATATTTAACAGTGCACAGAGATTGGGTATGGCTCACAACAGTTATTTTCCGTTCTTTTTAAACATTTAGGCAAGAACCCATTTTGCAGGATGTTCCATACTTTTGGATATAGCCCTTCAACTCAAATAAAGTCCACAAGAGTTTCAGTAAGAACACATATCTGTCAAGAGATGAAAAATGTCTAAAGCCTCTTTGTTATGTATGCCCATGACATCAGCTCTCAACTGCTTTGCAGTGAGAGTCAGCATTTTCCACCAAGATATCGGGTTGATCTTGATTTCCTTGAAAAACGCTTTCAGAAGGACAGACTTGTATTGCCAGCATTAGCCTGGGAATGAGAGAGGATTTTTTACTTTCAGGGGAATACGCCAACCAGGAAAGTCCTACAGGCCTCTTTCAAACAGCAAAACAAATCACCTTTGGAGGTCATTACAATATTACAGCTGACAGTAGGAAGGTAAATGAATGGAAAAACCCCATGCAGGAATAAAGTAGATAGGAATCATTCATATTTAATAAGATAAATCCTTTTAAACTGACACATAAAGAATATAAGAAGAATTATGGCCAGAAATAACCACTCAGCTCATGAGAACACCAAATCTTCCAGTACACCATGGTTTTTCTGTCCAAAACCATTGTATTATTACAAACCTAAAATACTTAATAATCAGTGAGGAGCTATATTGGATAGGGATGAATGTGTTGACCTCTGTTGATGAGATTTTACTAAATTTTTGATTTGGCACCACAACATGCTTTACTCACTGTAAGGACACCTAAATGAGATACTTATACCTACCTTAGATCAGGTTTATACACAAAAAGAGATACCCAGAAGAGAACAGCAATACATTTTTTGTGTTCATTCCAAACCAAAGACATTTCTACTTGACTTCCAGATTTATTCCGACAATCAACCAAAGGAGAATGAAGAAGTCACGTTAGTGCCTGGTCTCAATGGAATGTCATTGCATCTGTCCATTTTCATCCACTCGCTTTATCCGACTCAGGGCAGAATACCAAGACAGGTCACCAGTCCGTCACAGAGCACACACACTCATACTGTACGTGGGCCAAATTCCCCAGAAGCGAATTAACTTCCCGCATGTCTTTGGACTGTGGGAGGAAACCGGACCACATGGGGGAAACCCACACAAACACAGGGAGAACGTACAAATTCTATGCAGATTGCAGCCCGGGAATTTAACCTAGGGCCCCAGCATGGTTAGGCAGCAATGCTGACCACTACAGCACCAGGCCTCCTGAAATGTCACCCACAGACTTGATTTTACATGGAAGCATCAGCTTGACGAGATCACTTTGGCTACTAGCAACCAAACTGCTTCCTCTTTCTTATCCCACTTAAGGTATTGCAAAATACAAACTGATCTATACAGCTAAACTCAAAGTTTAATTCACTGCTTTTGAAAAATCTATTCAACTGCCTGCTCTGTCCACCCCAGATCCACGGTGCACAGTTGCAATAACACAGCTCCCGGCAGTGACTGAAATAACCTTGAAAGAAGGGTTTTTTGGGAGGTGAGGCTGGCAGTATTTCACGACAGAATTAATTAGCACCCCAACAGTGATTGGTGTGCTGCTGACCTTGTCTGGCACCGTACCCTCACATGCCCTCCGTCTCGCACTGAATTTGGTCTGACTTCAGCAGTTCCACTGACAGCTCCTTTCCACACAGCTGCCGGGCCAAGCACTGGCGGGGCTCCCTCTGCAGCTAACCCCCGAAATCAGTGAAATTCCAGAGAATCCAGAGACCTCCCCTGGAAGGGAGCAGATGAAGTGAGATGGGGGGAGGGAGGTCGGGGGAAAAAATCAACCTCCAGCTGTGACTATTGATGGGAAGAGGCCAGCAGGAGATGGCAACAACAAAAATATGGTTTACGTGATCAGTTGTGAACACGACCCTTTGTCTGCAGCGGCTGCTCACAGCCGCTGGGCACATTAAGCTCTGGGCCTGGATAACCGACAATTGCTGGACCAATACAAGCAGGCAGTCCAGCTGTCGGAAGGATCTTAGTGTCATGGCAAGGGAAGTCAGACAAGAGCCACGGTCATTCATGAAGAAAGCGTCTAGAAAAGGTCAAGTGTCTGGATCAATGGGAAATCCCAGGAGATACACAAGTATCAAACCCCGAAATACTACAAGGGGGGATCTTCAACCCAACCACAAGACTGGCAGTAGGGAAGTGGTCCAAAATAGAATACTTGTGGTGGACAAATCACAGCATTCAGCAGCTATTTCAGCTAATCATTGATGTCTTCAGTGATGTGACCAACCTGAACAGACAATTTATCACAGTGTCTAGATGTTGACAACATCACAGTGTCTAGATGTTGACAACATCACATTTTCAAGATGTGCTGCCAAGAACATCAAGACCTGATCTTTCTACTTGCACTCTGTGCTGTATGGGTTTGAATCCATTCACAGTCAGCTTTTCTCTGTCACCTTCAGTCTCGTTAGAAAAAATCTAGTGCGGTGTGTTCTGAAGTAGGTTTTGAAATTGTACAGGTTCCCAAATGCTCAGATCAAAATTTGACAATTTCCAGAAAGACAACTTTGAAGGAATGAGAGAGGGTGGGAGAGATCACAAATGAGCTACTAGAAAACAGAGGAGAACAGAAGGCAGCCCCAGAGTTAGCAAATCAGAGGCTAAAAAAAGATCCTAAATGGAAATTTGTATTTCACTCATACAAATCAATTAGGTCATATTTAGGGGGAAATAAAACACTTTATAAAATAATTAAAAACAACAGAATCCATTTAATGAAAAGGAGTGCAATGAATTGCAAGCACAGCTAAACAAGTAAATTCGAAAAACCTAGGGACATAGAAAGGGATATCGCAATAGAGGCTAAAATGGATAGTAAAGCACTATTAATGTACTGTACTTCAGCCACACAAGAACTATTAAAGATAACCTAGGGTACTGTAAATCCACAACAATAATGGACAACTTCCAGACAGTGTAAGAGATATCTATTAAATTCACAAGCCAGCAGCCATATCACCTTGCAAGCCCACTGGCAGCCCACTGAGGCTCAGCTGGTGCGAGCCTGGCCTGTACCTGGATGGGAGACCTCCTGGGAAAAGACCTGACAGATGACACTTACTGCAGAAAACTGCAGTGCGAGGTTGTGCTCGCAGAAAGTAAAAAATTGGACATTTAAAATGGGGGAATACTGAAAGTGAAAAGATGACTCACTTGAAAAGCGAACAGACTTAGGAGTCTGTGTTGTCACATCGTTCACATCATCCCCAGATGTGGTAAAGTAATAATAATCCCAAAAAATATTAAGATGTGGAATTAAAAGCGTGTCATTTCAATCAAGAATTGATCAAATTGTAAAGTCTCATTTAGAATTCTCTGAATTGGCTTCATTACTCTGCTCTCCTCCCAACTAAGAGCTGATGTGCGGTGAGCTTTCTGGCGTTGTTGCATCATCCAGGTGGGGCTGCACGCTGGTGGTGGTGGAGGGGAGTCCTCATTACCTGTAAAGCGCTTTGAGTGGAGTGTCCAGAAAAGTATATAAGTGTAAGCAATTATTATAATTATTAGAATACTGTGTTTAATTTTGGTCACTCCATTGTGGAAAATATATTACTGCAATGGCTGTGGCATGTTTTCACAAAACCTCAAAGGCAATAAAGTCAGCCCAGAGGGATTGTTCTGAATGAACAGTGAAACACGAACCAGCAGGTACCAGTGGAAACTATGTGGAAGTGTAAAGCACTTCTTTACCCAAAGGGTTTTGGGAGCATGGAACAAGCTACCCAGCCATGCTGATGAAGCTGAACGGCTTTCACAAAACCGTAAAAAGATATTCTTGGATCAATTAATCTTGCTAGATGAGCAACATGGCCTCGTCTTACTTATAGGTAACTCTTATGTGGCCTTCACAGCTCTTGGCTATAATTGAATAATCGACTGTATTTTCCTGAAATCCCATTACATGCTGCCTGACATGAAAGGGTATCACTCTGAGAGAATTTCACTGAGGTAAACCGCAGGCATAGTGAGCAAGCTTGAGAAAGACTGAAAATCCACTGCAGCTTCCAGAAATTGAATTGTCATGCAAACTTTGTGAACAGCAGTTCCGCCCCTTGAAAAAGTTGAAACGTTGTGAGCAGACTGGAACTGACGAGTCGAGCCCAGAAGACTGCCAATGATAACCCGTATCGCAACTGACTGCCGAGAGTATTGTACACGCTCGCCAAACCCTGCAAATCATTTTCAGACTTGAATTCGAATCCGCTATGGGTCAAACCTTTTTTTTTTTTTCACTAGTTCTGCAGCTTAGATTTACTGGAACTTGCTGAAAAGTAGGAGCAAATAATTCTGGAACAGGCAGCACAGCAGTGCAACGGTCAGCGTTGCTGCCTTGTGGGTGCTGTCTGTGTGGAGTTTGTATGTTCTCCCTGTATTCACGTGTGTTTCATCCAAGTGCTCTGGTCTTAACAAAGCATACTGTTAATTATCCACCAGATATATTTAACAGTGGATAGCAATCCTTGCATATTCTTATATTCATCGGCATTTAGTACGTAGATACAAGGACAGACAAGTCAAAAAGCAAAGCATGTTGTTAATTATCCACCAAATATATTTAACAGTGGATAGCAATCCTGGCAGCAACAGGGCCCTGGGTTCAGTTTCAGACCTGTGTGTGGAGTTTGCATGTTCTCCCCACATCTGCGGTTTCCTCAGGGTGCTCCAGTTTCGTAACACAGCCCAAGAACAAACTGGTAGGTTAATTGTCTTCTGGGAAAATTGGCCCTGGTGAGAGTGTGTGTCTGTGTGCACTGTGACGGACTGGCATCTGATCCAGGTGTACCCCACCTTGTGCCTGCTGCTTGCCCATATAGACTCTGGCTCCCCCAAAACCTTGAACAGAAGTGCTCAGACAATGGGAGGAGAGTTCTGGAGTGAAAAAAGCTTGGGCAACCACTATGATGATGTAGGTGTCTGAGATATTTAGGGCATATTGAGTGGTGACCCATTCAATCCAGACTGAAAGACTTTCTTTGAGGAGAGACTTAATTCAAGGGCACAGGAACAGATGGACAAGTGACATCATGAGCATTACAGTGAAGCAGCTGGCTGTCTCATTACACTAAAAAGGAGGACAATATTGCTACTAGTAAATTATTCAATTTCCAGGGGGTCTTGAAAGATAGAAGCTTTGTAAAAGGCTGTTAGTCAAAATCAATACAGTATATCTCCACCCAACTGGGAGAGTATTCGGGTACACATCTCAAAGTGCGTTTCTCCTCTTTGCTGTTTTTAATGTGCTGTCATGGAAAAAGCACTTATCTGTTGGGACAAACCAACAAAATTGACAAAGGCAGTACTTTATAGTACTGAAAATCTTCAAATTAACTGTAAAGTCTTTGTGGACAAACAAATTGTCAGGCTGCTATTACCTGCTACATATCTTACTTACTAGATAAGAGTGTTGGAAACCTATGACACACAATTCTAGCCTGTATATAATTTTGTTGTTTTTGTCTAATTTATTTTCCAGTGTATATTTACTTACATGGGTCTTTTCAAATTTGGAACAAATGACCCCAGGGTCTGATTTTCTTAATTAGTGAAAGGCATGCTCAGTTGATTGATTAAACCTTTAATTGAGCTGATGATATGATTATCATCTTTAATTTGTGCCCCGAAAATTATACCTTCAAGTTGTCCACGGAAAACAAGAGATTTGAAAATGTTAGGCAAATGGAAATCTCTTGACTGTTACAGAACTGAAAACAACTTGTAAAGGCCTAATTATTAGAATAATTCGTTAAAATTGGGGTTCAATTAAACTATCAAGAGCTCAGCTGGAACACAAACAAGCAGACACTGGAAATCACAAAAACTCGGCAGGGAAACCCAGCTCTAAATAACAATTAGTGTAGCTCAAAAAAATAAAGAATTGCACTTCTCAACAAAAGAAGTACACCTTGGTCAGTAAGTGCCTGTACCCTTTCACTGTTCAAATTATGACAAGTTTACAAATTTGAAGGCCACCCCACTAATTTGAAAAACAAACTAATTCTCCTGGTGATAAAGTTCAGTTTGAGAGTGTATCCTCAAGGCCTGGGGTTACTCGAGGTGTTAGAAAAACACCTTTTCCCTAACCATGATGTAATGGGAGGAAAAGTCATTGCTGGGTGCCTGGGCAGGGACATATTGTATGTAGGACAGTTGTTTAAGCAGACACAAGCCTACAAAATGCACCCCTGCACCCACATACAGATATATGATGTCTTGGCTGTGATCTCTTATGTTAAAAACTCGTCAGAATAATTAAAAAATCCAAAGATGACTCTTAACTGCAGCAACATGTGTGATCTATAATGCCAAAGGCTGTCTGGAAGGCTGCTACTTTTTTACTGGAGATGTTAAGACTACGCCTAGTCCTCATGATATTAAGCAAGTAATCCCACAGGCTTGAGGGGAGACTATAATTTGACATTAGCTAATACCATGCCAGTTACATCAATCTTACACTGTGCTAACAATGGGCTTTGCTATGAATCACATCGAAGCAGCTACTCCCTAATTTTATATCCCAACTGAGACACTCCAAGCAGCCATAAAGTAAATCGACTTCATTAAAAAGAAATTAGTTCTTCGTTGGCACATGCCTAGCTGCTTTCCACCAATTAAACAGATTGTATTAGTGTAAATTATCATCACCATGAGGTTTGTAACTTTCATTTGTGTGAAAGGGTCTGAGCATTGAATGAAAACTGCATATTCACAAATACTTGATATTTTTATATTCATCGGCATTTAGTATGTAGATACAAGGACAGACAAGTCAAAAAGCAAAGCATATTGTTAATTATCCACCAAATATATTTAACAGTGGATAGCAATCCTTGCAGCACTGGGGCCCTGGGTTCAGTTCCAGACCTGTGTGAGGAGTTTGCATGTTCTCCCCAAGTTTGCGTAGGTTTCCTGCAGGTGCTCCAGTTTCCTAACACAGTCCAAAGACATACTGGTAGGTTAATTGGCTTCTGGGAAAACAGGCCCTAGTGTGAGTGTGTGTTTGGTGTCCTCTGTGTCTAGGGTGTACTCTGCCTTGTGCCCGTTGCCTACTGGGATAGGCTCTGACACACACGTGACCCCGAATTTGGAGAAGCAGTCAGAAAATGGACGGATGTGATCATTTCTGTTTCGAAGTAGTTCTGCAGACTTCTACCACTGTTTCACAGGGTTACTTATGCCTTTGTAATCACATGATTTTGGTTTGTGCCTGGGTCTTTTCTGGACTGCCACATGAACCTTGCTGTCATCACTGAATATAGGAACAAGTAAAGGTTTATTCCCTGCTGAAAAGAGAAGAAAGGAAACACATGTTTCCTTTCTTCTCTTTTCAGCAGGGAATAAACCTATTACATGTTCCTTTTCAGCCTAAGCATGCTGATGCAGCTACCCACCTGAATACATGCATGTTTTAAACACCCTATTGTTCACACAAGCTAATTTTCTGGCGATATGTGCTCACAAGCAAATTTGGTAACAGGCAACAGTTTGCTCTTATTTCAAGAAGTCACACCGCTCAAAACCTGTTCGAACGCAGGTACAGAACACAGAAAATGGAAATTGAAACCTAAGATCAAGGTGTTTAGCCTCAGACTGCAATGCATTGGAAAGTTCTGCAAGCTTTTAGGTGATTTTGCAAAGTCCAAAGCAGAGTTGCGGAGATTGACTCATTGAAAACACTTTACCTTGTCTAGTTTTGCTTCAATCTCCACCACCTCAGTTTCCACTTCATCTATCGAAGCCCTGAGGAAAGAGAAACAAAGACATTTTAACCAGCACAGACACAAATAATTCAAATATGCAACATTCCTTTGCTATGGATTAGACTCACAGACCCATTTGTTAAACGTTGAACAAATAAATACTGAAAAAATAAAATCAAGATCCTACCTTTTATTTTTTTTTAATATACACGCTCCAATGCCTTTGTGATTACTTACATAATGCAGAGCTGATATGCTTTTGCTTATATGTAGCCATGTATAAAGTTTTTTTAGTCATGGTTCTCTGCTCATGTTCTGATTCTCTGTGGAATGTTTCATGTGGTTTGTTTCGTCTGGTAAATCTACCACAACAGATTTTGACACTTTCCAAGGTGAATTTCACAGAATTATAAAACCCTTAGACACGTTCACACCAATAGCAGGCTCATGCAAATTGGACAGGAGGATTAAACCTGGACAGCTGGACAGCTAAGATTCTTTGTTACCTTTGATTGGAATGTAAATGAAAAATCCAGACTGAAAATGAAGAAAATGGACAGATATTCTCTTATTGCACGATTCTAAAGCTCCTATCACATGCCGAAAGAGAAATCAAAAAGCTTTTGACACTTTCCAAGGTCTTGTAAAATATGACTGTAAATTCAGCCATTGATAGGAAGATTAAGTAAGCTTCCAAATACTATTATTTTCTGAATCATGTTTGAACATAACAAATATGTTTGAAATAGAAATATGGCTTGGAGCTGTCTAACTGAACAATACCTTTAATTTTACATTTTAGTGGTTTGACAATATTTTTTTAAATTGAAATGATGATCTGCCTCATTTTCAGAGGAACAACTGGCACAGATTAAAATTTGGAGCAAGGCTCTGCAATTTGACCAGGCTTGACAAGAATACTGTGAATAAGATCTGTCCCGCGTGGGTGTCGCAAGTGACACAGAGGTGAGAAACGAGCATGACAGCTGGTATTGATTGTTTTTAGACATAACACAGTTCAAGAACGGTCCCACTGGCAGGGTGTTCTGAATGTCTTTAATTTGATGTCACCACACCCACAGGATACACATTACCACAATCCCTGGTTTCAAGAAAATGATGGTGAGATTTGCTCTCCATTCTTGTGTCATATTTGGCAGCGTTACTGGGCTGTCAGAACACCCAGCCATGTTTTTAATCTAGTTGGATGACAGTGTTACAGTTTTGTTCATCACAGTTTGATCCAGAGTCCCACTGATGTTATTTTCAGATGATGACCAAGCATACAGTAGGTGTGTCTTTTTTCCTGCTGTGGTCAGAACCATGTCCTGTCAATATTCTTGCGATATGTGAGGGGAACATGTCTCAGTCATGGTTTAGTAATGACAGGCTGCGTTCTGGCATAAGTCCTGCTATACAAAAAAGTAAGAAAACTGACACTGTAAGTTTAGTAAATTCTCCACAGAAACCACAAAAATGTTTTAAGTAGGCCATATTGTAGACGTATGTAATTGGCCCCTCTAGTTTAGCAATTAGAAAAGCAGAACTTAAAATAAAACACTTTTTATCATTTTTCTTCAAAATTGATTTGTCCTTCCTGTTTACTTTCATTGATTTTGCATCTTGATCAACAGGTTCTCACGTTTACTCTACATATTGGTCTTGAATGGGAATAGCATGGGTATTTTTTTCCCCATTTTGGAACAGCAGGAAGACGGGACACTAACCATGTGGTAGTTCCTACCACGTACAAGGGCATTGTCCCATCTTTCACTGGACTAATAGTCATGGAAAATATATCAAGAAATTCCTTGGGACAAGATCTATATCATGATTGACCTATTAAGGGCAACTTGGAGAATCTATTATTTACACAAATTAATTACAAGTGAAAATTACATATTTACAACAATAAATTCATTAGCTAGCTGGAACTGCAATACCAGTGCTGCTGTAGGCATAATAGAATTTAATCAGTATGGAGAGTGGATTCCATGAAAACAGGCTGATAGCACATAGTCTATTTTCACAGTGATTACAATTACAGGTGCTCTTCATTTTCAATTACATGCTTGAGTTATTCTTATACTGTATTGTCATTTTTCTATGGTAGTTTAATGCTCATTTTCAGATTGTCTTACTGTGTTTTCCTATGATTTCTGCTTGGGAAGACTATATACCATAATAAAATGCTTGTATGACATGTTTACTATAGTACTCCATGATACTGTCGTGATCTAGTCCACTTGCGTGTTGGACTAACTACAGTTATTCAAGCTGGTGAAGTACAAAGTGAACAAGGTCAAATGTAGTTCAGACAACACTCAAGAGCCCAGCATTTTTAATCTACTCTGTGCAGAAAATCTGCAGTCACTGTAGCTGGCAGCCAACAGAGTCACAGTCTCGGAAAATCCAGAACTGTAGCAAATTCACTGTAACCGACTTTGCAGTGGCAGAATACGACTGCCTGCCTGCCCCTCTCTCCCTTCCTCTTCATCCCTGGGCGCTGAGCTCCTGCTAGTTAGATTAACTCGGCTGATTGGCTTCAGCAGGAACAGGCTAATGCAGGGGGAAAGGAAGAAGCCATGTGCTGCTCCCGACTGCTGGCAGACAGACCTCGTCACCTAGGACGGTTTTAATTAATGTGTTAAAATTATATCATTCGCTTGGGCAGTCAGAAAAAAGGAAACAGTACCTTCCTCTTTGGGCCCAGTGTTATTGCAGCCATCAGTGCAATACAGTTACGGTTACACCACAAAAAGTAGAAAGATATACAGTATTGCATCTGGTGAATCTACTGTATTTGCACAACGTGGGAGATATTACACCACCAGTCAAACCACTAAAACAACAACATGCAATATTTAAGCCTTCTGTACATTATATGTTACAATCATTACACCTGAAAAGTTATCTATACACCTTCATATCAGAGATTTTACACTAATACTATACTGCTATGTTAGCAATAAAAAAGATCACATAGTACATCTAGAATTCTTCACAATAAAAAGCACCATCAGCAATAAGACTGTAGAAAGGGCATTGTTATTTCAGGGGCTTTTAAGAGTGATTGATATAATATATAATATATAAAATAATGATTCTAAATCTGGGTACTTGAAGAGTTTCTTCCTTCTTTTCTTTCTGTCAACACTTAAATTCTTCATACGGGATTCTTTATCAACCTCCAGCTCCAAAAAACAATAACTAACAGTGTTAATAAATGAAATAAAATATTTACCAGCCAAGATATTTTGGCACTCTTTTACTTTGAGGGAGGATTTTCTTTCCTGTGCGATTCCTCAAGCTCCGATAGCGAATGTCTCCTGACAGTCAACACTCTGGAACGGGTCGGTCACTAGGGTGGTGTCGAAGCTCGTCTCTCAGAAGCCACACTGCCCTTATTAGATGTTTATGACATGGCAGCAGCGATGAGTCACATCGGGCTCTCGGAGGTCGCGCTAAAGCCACCCTGCTTGTCACGAATCGACTGCGCTCAGCTTTCATGAAATGCCATCTCCCTTTTGAATCAAACATGGATGTGCGCAATCAGAATGACGTGCTTCAAAACACGCTGGCTCAGACACTGCAGCTCCGAAGCTGCCAGGTGCACTGAGGATCCCGCTGAGCGATCCATGAGGCCTCCTAAGTGTGTAAGGATGAGGAATCTGAGAAGGTTCCCTTTCCACAGATAGTTCAGGTTTTACATGAGCCAAAGTGCTGAATGGGCCAAGTTTGATATTTGACTTTGAATAAATCTGCAGGGCGGTTTGAAGTTAAAGTAGTGTCAAAACATGTTTAGCTTCATTGGTACAATAAACATCTTTACAACCCAGCTACTG